AAAAATCATTTTTCCTTATATAAACTAATGGTGCAATGTAATTATTAATAAAGTTTTAATAAGAAGATAGATAGATATGGTAACTTCCCAAACTAAAATTTTGGTGACTCCTGATTAGAAGGCAAAGGTGAAAGGACAAAATCGACAACTATAGAAAACTCCAGAATGTTCTTATTTAGCAACTACTCATTTGCAATATCTGAATTTTGGGGTTGAAGGGATGAAAGAGACAGTTTAATGAACATGAAACTGTATCTTGCAAAAAAATAAAAGTACAAACCTCATAATGTTCATATTCATCCACATCAAATGTCTCAAAGTCAAAAAATCCATGTTGTAATCCCTAAAAGTAGAATTTGAATTAGTTTCTTCACACTAAATTGAGGCTCCTAACTATCCCCATACTCCTGCTCATAAACACTACTGGTGAGGAAATAGGCTGAAACCTCTGAATCTTAATGCACATTTAGAAATCATTTTCTAACATTAGTAAGTTTACTTTGAGACCATGTTACAAATAGGAATAAACACTTAGAAAAGCAGGAAAACATGTCCTGCAAAATAAACCACTTGAGTCCTAATTTACATTAGTTTGGTATATAAAATTAAGTATGTACATAAAATAGACCATATTAGCAAACATAGTTAAATTCTTTGGGGACTATGCAATTAAGGCATGCCTAATTATGCCAAAATATATCATAGCTGTTAACTTCTCAGGAGAATAAGTACCAAGTTTCTTAAGAGATTTTTTCACTTTATTATTAATGAGAGATTTAGTGAAAAATGCATTTTACTTAATGGGCCCATATTTGTTCCTACAACGCTTTGAAAAAAATTGTCTTATGGCAAGTTTCCAACAGCTAAAGCATACTAGACTTTCCTACAATTTAGAAGGAAAACTGACTTTCAACATCATGAAGAAAAACTAAGCTCCTTTTTCATGACTTGTGACTTAGAAATATTAAAAACTATCCGGTTTGCTTAGATGTAATATTTTGTTTTGTTTTGTTTTATTCCATAAAATCTTTAATAATTTACATATTCAATTAATAAAAACTTAAAAAAAATGTTGACTATCATATCAAGTCATATACCATACTATATTTGAAGAAGGATACAGCCTTTCCTTTCATTAAATAGATTGCAAAAGTATAGACATGATTAATTCCACTAAAATGCATTTGTAGTATATTTTGAAACAGAGAAGATCTTTTCCTTTGTAAACCGTGAAGTTATACAGATTATAATACAATACAAAACCTGTTACTTTGTAAAGTTACATGATCAATTCTTAAAAAAAACCAAGAAACTATAAACCCAAGCTCCAGTATATTCTCTTTGAAAATGTTTTAGAAGCCAATGTTTTTCAAAATGTGGATTTTTTTTAAAGATATCATTTATTCATTCACTCTTTCATTTATGCATACAAGAACTGGAGTCTTGGCCAGAGATACAGGGAGTGAGAGGATTCACCAGAGACAGAGTAGGGAGCAGAATAGGCAGGTTGACTAAGATATACTGCTGAGGGGCGCAGCAGGTGAGACAGAGGAGGTCTGCTGCACATTGTGGGTCACTCCCTGGTAGTCTATTGAACTCCTACTGCCGTGGCTGTTGACAGCTTCAGAGTTCTGAGACTCAATCCCTGCACTGCCAGGGAGACCTAAAACAGATATTTTAGGAGTATTAACAGTCTCCTTAGGTGATTCTTATAGATGCTAAATTCTAACAACACTGTTTTCAGATAACCGAGAAGGAATAAGCAGAACAAATTACTCAAATGATATCACCCTTAAACTGTAACTTAGTTCATGCATCTGCATCCTCCCAAAGAAAATATACTCTGGATTTCTCTTTCCTTTCTCCTTACTTAAAGAGTATGTATAGGGCCTCCCTGATGGCATAAGGGTTTAATTCTTAGTGCTATCAAGCTATTGCCGGCCACTGTATCACGAGTTCGATGCCAGTCAGAGATATGACCTACATGGCGCAGCAGACCTCTCCTGTTTCACCCACTGTTCCCCTCACAGTGTATTTCAGTAAACCCATCTGTTCTGCTCCCCACTCTGGTGAAAGCTCCCATTTCCTGCACCTCTGGCCTGTATCCCAGTTCTTCTATGCATAAATATATAACAATAACTCTTTTTTTAAAAAAAAACAAAGGTAGACTTCCTAAAAAAGGTAAACATTGGCTGCACTCTGCAGACATCCCAGAGATCTGGTCTCAACGCCACAAATCAGCCCAGAACACGGTGCTCACATGAGCATGTACTAACAGGTGATGTGTGTGAACTGCTTCAAGATATGTTAAACGATCTGTCCAAACCTTTAAAATTACATCCATGTTTGGGATAAAATAAACCAACCCAACATTTGACAAAACAAGTTTACAGAAGACCTTGTTCATGAATAAAGTCATTCTTTCCTTTACAACAGGAAGGATGTTGTAAATTTCTAAATCAAGTTACCAGTGACCATAATAGGCAAGGATATTCCATGTGAACTATAAAAGGAAGAGCCTGTACCAGACAGCAGGATAGGCAAAATAATAGCACTGACCATAAATTATGTTTTCCCTTAGGCATATTTTTGAATGCTATAATTATGAATAATAGCTTGAATAGTATCTGCATAAAAGTCCTCAACTGTTATTATTAGAAGAGTATGTTGGCAGGGAATGAGTTAGAGAATCCTGGTCATTTTTCAGTGAAAAGTAAAAATACCTGAAAACTATTTCAAAGTGTTACAGAGTTTAAGTTCATTTTATAATGAAATATCAAAGTCAAAAACAAACATACATAAAGCTATTAAGCATGCTCATCATGCCAATTCTCTCAACACATAATAAAACCTGATTCATAGCACATCAGAAATAACAAGCTAGAGTTGGAATTGATACTGATACTATCTTTATAATCCATGACAGTGGGTATGTAATATATTCACTCCTGCCTGGTAACTCATGGTTTTATGTTCAGACCTTCATTAGAATTCACAGGAGAAGGCATGGAGGCATAGAAGTTAAGTCTCAGTGCTATCACCTCTGCAGCAGGAATTCCAGCCAGGGAGCTGACCCACATGGCACAGCAGACCTCTCCTGTCCTGCCCATTGCCCCCCCTCAATGGTATATTTCAGTAGATCCAACTGTTCTGCTCCCTACTCTATCTTTGTGAATTCTCTCACCCTCCTGTACCTCGGACCTGCACCCCAGTTCTTCTACACATAAATAAATCTTTTTTCAGAAAGGAGAAAGAATGCATACAAGGGCTTGCATGTCCTCTCTCAGATTATGAATATTTCTAAAACACATTCCAAAAGTTCTGCAAAATCTCTGATTTCTCTACTATATGTATGTTTATATATGAATGGATAAAACTAAACTATAAACTTTAAAGTGCATCCAGTTACCTATAGGGATTGTTTAAACACAGAAAGACAGCTGGTCTGGAATAGGAACTGAGAATTTGCATCTCTGACAGACTGATTTCTGACAGACCTTGATAACAGTATTAGAAAGAACTCTGGTTGAATTACGACACAAAGTTAGAATTATTCCTAGTAATTAATTCTCTATGACCTTGAGAGTAACTTAACCTCTGTGGATTATTTCCTCTTCTGTAAAAAAAGAGATGATAATGTCTGGCCTACTTATTATTTTATGGGTGTGTAATAATATCTAAATAGAAAAAACATGTGGAAATGTTCTTGAAACTTACAGAGGAGGGTAGTGGCTTGATAACTTCCTATGTCTCCTATACCAAGATCTAGCTTAATAGTGAAGCTAAGGGCCTCCCTGGTGGCAAAGGGGTTAAAGTCTCAGCCCTATCAAGTGACGGCCAGCCACTGCAATATGAGTTCAGTCCTGGGCCACAGAGCTGACCCATATGGTGCAGTAGACCTCTCCTGTCTTTCAGCAGCTCCCCTCAATCATGTATTTCAGTAGATCCACCTGTTCTGCTCCCCACTCTGTCTCTGGTGAATTCTTTCACCGCCACCCCCATACCTCTGCCTACACCCCCACTCTAGTATGCGTAAGTAAATATAGTGAAGCTAAATAGTGAAAAATCAAAGTTACAGATACAGCAGCAGATAGAAGTGACAAAACTTCCTCAGAATACAAGTTCCCCAGGTAACTTGAATGAGATTATCTTCTCACTCATGCATTCTGCTTCCACATATCTTCTCACTCATGCATTCTGCTTCCACAAAGAGCTACTCCCCCACACCTACCTACTCCAGTCTGCCCTACAGTCTTTATTTTACAAATCAATAATTATTCAAGAAGTAGCACGCCCTCTGCTCAGGTTCTCTTCTCTTCTCTCCAGCAACAAACAATATTGACATTATTGCTTTCTCATATTTTTATTTTTTGTCAATGACAGTAAAGAGATTTGTTATTACCTTTCTGATTCCCTGCAAACAGTCAAGGATGGTGAGATTATAAGTGCAATTTCCAAAGGAAGCATCCCTGCAAACATACAAAAAATAATAATAAATTAGAAACTTGTATTTAAAATACTCAAATAATAAAATATCAAAGTCCATTTGGCTTCATGGCTGTAAATATAGTCAATTGATATATCAGATTTTGCTACTAAACTACTCCTGCATCTTGGTTGAAGTCCTTCTGAAATTGTTTCAATTCAATAGGCAGAATTAATCTGAAAAGACTTAAGAGCTCAAATTCTGGAGTCAAATTATCTTTGTTTAAACTCCAACTCTTCCACACACCGAGACCTTGAATAAATTATTTTACCTCTATAAGTTTTGGCTTCTTCATCTGTGAAATGACAGTAACTACCATTTGTACACTGCACTCAGATTACATTTTAGATAAAATGTAAAATTCTTCAGTGTCTCCCCCATAAGTCGTACTTAATAAGTATTATGGTTCATTATTATTAATAACAGTAAAAAGGATTGCTTCATTAAGCAAATTGTTCATCATAGTAAGTATTCCTAGATCAATCTGTCAGGAACATAAATAAAAGCATAAATAGTCAAGAGGAAAAAGTATAACAGGTCCATGGAACTAGCAGCCACATTCATGGATTAAATGCCACCCCACTCACCCTCTCCACCCCCCCCAAAAAAAAAAAAAACTAAGGAAAATGAAATCCCATGTCAATCTCTTAGCAAGACCCATGAAAACTTCTCAAACAGCATGAAGTGTTCTAGTAAAAGGAGTTGCCCTGCAATACACCATAGAGAATTGAGTGCTTCATACTTTATTTAAGTTTTTAGAGCAACTTAGCAGACCTACTTGAGGCAACTTAAAACTGAAGTATCAAGTTCAGGTCAGTTAAGCAAGAACTGGCACTGGAGCTTTAACGCTAGCAATGTTCCAAGGTGTTCAAGGCAAGAAACTTGACCTCAAGGCTCTCAGTCTCTTCTGCCCAGCCTCCACCCCCTGCTGACCCAAAGTTGCAAGGCAACTGCCAAAGACAAAGTCAAGGGCACCAGGAGTCAGCACAAGGGCAGCAGAGGAGGATACCTGAGGATTTCCATCAGAAGAAAAGGAACATTAAGTGTTTTAACACATAATTAACATAAAATCAGCTTTGTACAGTACAATCATCCAATGGAACTTAAACCGCTGGTTTCTGAATCAGGAATTCAAATGCAGTTTCAACAGCACTGCCTTTCGGCATCCTGATACCCGAAAATAAAAGTACACAAAAACAGCAAGTCGTAAAGCAGCTTGCCAGAAATTTCTTCAGTGCTGAAGATTCAAACGTTAACCTAGGCTAATAGGAAGTGCTATTCTGGATCTTTAATTGCGATTTCAAGAGTTCTTTTTTAATGTCATCTGAACTCACAGGTCAGTGAAAAATGAAACAGCCCACTTTGCATCTGAGAAAGATACATAATGCACACATTAAGAAGCGAATTCTGTAAGACAACGTAAGGGTCAGGCACCAGCCAAACTTGGGCACACGGAAGGAGCAGTTGCCTCAAGCAAAAGCAGATATTTGGGAGCAACAACCTCCTGACTAATTTGTCACCACCAGTTAACCGAGGCCTGGGCAGAAAAGTAAGTTCCAGTTCCTTGTCAAAACTTTCCACCTAGGCGCTCTCCCTGGTGGCACAATGGGTTAAAGCACCACTTTATGAGGCTCTCCGAAGCCACTGCTGCACAAGTTCGATCCCCGGCCAGGGAGGTGACCCACATGGCTGGCAGACCTCTCCTGACCCGCCCACTGCTCCCTTCCGCAGTGTACTTCAGTACACCTGCCTGTTCTGCTCCCACTGTTTCTCTGGTGAAGCCTCTTACTCCTCCAACCCCCATACCTCTGGCCTGTACCCCACTTCTGTAAGCATAAATAAATCTTTAAGAAAATTTTTTTCCACCTGGCCATTTCTCCTCCCTACCTAGGTCTATAAAACCCCATCTTACCCTTCCCTCAGTGTAACTTCTCTGACCTTAACTCTCTCTGGGATCAGTGAACCTGGCCCAGGGGCTCAGAAATAAACCGACTCTTGGTTTTATTGGCCTCGCTATCTCTTTGTGTCCTCCCTATTGAGCTGAACCTTTCAGACGAAACAGTTTTTAAAAGAATATTTCAGCGAGCTACACTAGAGAAGGGTGTAGCTGGGGATTTAAGACAAAATATTAATTTTTATAAATAACCACACATGCTTTTGGAGATGCTTGGCTCTTTGAAACAAGGGTTCATGTGCCATGTAAACCCTCTACCACCGCCACCTTTCAGGGAAATGATAAAGCTTGTGAACTCTTTTTAAAGAATAGTATTTTTAAACACCTAACAAGGGCTCTAGCAAGACCACTCGTCATTCTGTTCCTGACCTTCTACCTCTCTGAACACTACTCCTTCCCAACCTCCATTACATAGCCATCCTTCACCTTCCAACCTTTAAAAGTCAAGCTACTCAATGTTCAGTTCCAGACTCACATTCTTTCCCTCCCGCTCCACATTCTCTCCTAGACCAGTGACTCCCAAACTTTGCAGGCATCGCCATCCCCTGCATGGTTCCTTCAAACACTGAGTGATTCTGCGAGCCTGGGGATATGCATTCCTAACAGGTTCCCAGATGTGCTGTTGCTGCTGGTAGGAGAGAGCAGCTATTGAGCCCACAAAATTAGCATCTATCTGCAAGGACCCTATAATATCTTTTTTTTTAATTTATTTACTTATGCATTCAAGAACTGGGGTACAGGCCAGAGGTATGGGGTAAGGGACTGAGAGGATTCACCAGAGACAGAGTGGGGACCAGAACAGGCAAATCAACAAAGTACACTGCTGAGGGGAGCAGCAGGTGGGTCAGGGGAGGTCTGCTGCACCATGTGGGTCAGCTCCCTGGCCGGGGATCGAACTCGTGCTGCAGTGGCTGCAGATCACTTCACAGTGCTGTGCCTTAACCGGTTGAGCCACCAGGGAGGGCCCCCTCATATTTATTTCTTTAGCACAAACTCCTTAAAATGCCAAAACAGTATAGACATCTATGTGCATGATATTTCCATGAAGGTGTCTTAAAGCTATCTCCAACTATAATAGTTGTGTAAAAATTCTCCTGAGTCTGCCTCCATGCCAGAAGGACAATTATCTCAGATGCCGGCACACCCTCTCATAAAAGACAGTTTCCACAACAGCCCCAATAGAAACAGAAGTCCCTCCAGCTCTCTCATTCTTGTATCAATATGCCCTGTTGTTCTTCCCTCATAAATGTCTCTCGAATGCATTTCCTTCCCCCAAGTTCCCTGACACCTTTCAGACTCCCGCAATCTTCCTTCAGCCACTCAGGCTTTCTTGCCAGTTTTCTTCACTGCTTACATAGTGTCTGGTACAGAAAAAATATTCAATACATATTGTAAATAAATATTAAAATTAAGTAAAAAGCTTAGGCGCTTATCCCAAGAAAAACAACTGTAGTATTCTATGGTCGCTGTTAACTCAATAACCTAATACCTAAAACCACATTAATAAGAAAAACTTTCTTTCTTGCATAAACCCAAAACCCTTTCTATTTAAGATCATTCCTTCTGTTGTCTTCTTTTTTTTTCTCCTTCTGTTGTCTTTATCAAAGATTATTAGTCGAGTAGATCTAAAGGTAGTGATACTCCAAGGAGTTTTCTCTTCCTTTGTCAAGTGGTATTAAACAGTTTTACTTTAACCCAACACTTGAGAAAAACTACAAAGAGCTTTCAGGCTTTAAATCACTACACCAATATGCTCAAAACTTTTATTAAACTCCTACAGATTTTATTGCTATCATTCATTCAAACATACTGAACATAATTCCCAATGTTTACTTAACTCCTGGGTTGTTTATTTACTCATGTATCTACATTCATCCACTCATATTTATCAAACAAACTATTTACTGAGTAGAAGAACGTGTATTTTTTCACCTCTCTCATAAAGAACCACTGAAATCCCACAGACTTCAACTGAAAGGAAAGGTTGTATACCCCTTGCTGCCTAAAAAAACTACAGATCATACCCTTATCTGTCATGATCATTTTACCATGGATTGCTTTACTCTCTTAAACAAGTAAACACAGAATGTTCTTCATTCAGGAGTTACAGTAATACCCCATACATCCAGGGTTCCTAATCATTCATCTCTGCTAAAGAATAAATCACGTCTCTAATACCCATTACAGAAGACTAACAGGACAATCAGCAGTTGTCTCGAGCTGTCTAGACACAACCGAATGCAAGTTCAGCTCAGTATCTTGCTTGACATCGACACTCCCTCCATCCTATCTTTCTAACCCAGTTCTGTCATATGAATTCTAGCATAACAGTTAAATGAACCATAAGGATATTATGAAGTAATTATAAAACTCCACATGACTATAACCTGGGAGAGTTTTGCAATCAAAATACTTGTTGAATAAAAAACTAAATGAATGTTAATTTGAATAGGTGGTGCAATTGGGGTTTTGTACTATTTTTATGTGTAAACATTTGTTTGCAGTGAAATGGTAGAAGAAAAAACTAAATGCAAGAGAAAAAAATCACCATCCATCATTAATTGCAAAGAAAAGAGGTTTGACACTCTATTACCTTAGAGCTGTTCATACAGGATTTTAAGAGTCAACTGATAAATAGTCAGGAATTTTGAGAGCCCAAGTCAGCACTGGTAGAAACATTTACACCAAGGAAATCAGCAAATACTTTTTTACATTCATAGGTACTTCACCAACACACCACTGCTTATAACCTAAAAATCTAAGCAATCATTCAATGTGAAGCAACCTTATATTTGTAAATTAAAGGGAAGTGGAACCAGAGATAAAATAACATATTTACATGGCACAAGAGAGTATTTCTGGCAATGATGTTTTATGAACTGAAAAACAGAGGCTTACTGTTCACAATGCAGAGATTGCAGTAAAGAATGAAAACAATTGACAAATAAGTGGACTAAGTAATACTGGGAATGACAATAACTTTACTTACCTAAGTTTTGATTCTATGATTCCTATTAAATTCTCTGGAT